CTTCTGTATGTCTTTATTCTGTGACCAAAGTTTGCATGAATTAATGGATTTCGTTCTTCTTGGCTAGATCAAAATTTCGTCTATATAGCTAGAATCATCCATTATTTGGCATTCCAGTTTACAGTGTAATTATATTACTGAATATACTTGTTTTGGACAAGCAGCATTTAAGCTCATATTGAATTTTGATGTTCCAGGTCTTAAAACAGTGATAGGTGAACTCCCTCCAGCCTCGTCCTCGCTGGCAGCTAATATAGCAAAGAGAATAACAGGAAGACTGACAGCCGCAGTTTTGAAGGTGATTTAAATAATGCAGATAACTTCAGTAAAATTCAAAACAGTCATATTTTCTTGCCATCTAGTTTGTGTCACATGATTGTATTTTTGCTGTAGAGTGCTGATGTGTCTGTACAATTGGAAGCCTTGGATATCTTGGGTGATCTTCTAAGTAAATATGGCGGTAAGAACTAAAACTATTCCACACCTTTTTACCAATTTGCCATGATAATAACCGATAATGGTTGTATATTCTGAATGATTTCAACATGATAACATGCACAACCCACTATATTGGAAAATTAAAATTTATTTTTCTTGTGTGGGGTTGGTTGTACAAAGACCATAGAGCACTAATTTCACTGGAGTGATGAATTAAGGTTAGCAAGCTTTCATTGGTACTAGGGATGCAACTACCTGAAAAATATAAGGAGAATTTTGACGTTTCAAGCGAAGGCCCTTCGTCTAGTGTTACTAGTATTAATAGTGTCACTAGCGACCCACACTGGTAATACTAGTAACACTAGTACCATCAGTAGCAATAGTAACACTAGTAAACATAGGTAATAGCATGGTTTCGATTGCAATTTGGATATAATATGCACGAGTGAGTTTTTCCAGGTCTTAAAATATCGGTCGGTCACGGACATTGTCCGAGCCATTCGTCAAATTGTCCGACATAGAGAGGAAACCACCGGACATTCTGTCCGACCTAATTGAAGCTGAGGTTTATGGTTTGTCCGACCCGAGTGAATCGTTGTCCGACCGAACTGTAGCTTTGTCCGACGCTTTCTCCACGTACGTAAATCAAAATGTACTCTAGTCCAGGACTACAGTAGAGGCTCGTATGTTATAATGGAGAACCAGAGTATTGTACAAAAATGGACCGGAAATGTTGGTTTTAATAATGTCATCGAGCCCGGGGCGGCGAGCGAAATGGTGAAGTGGAAAACGGGCTTAACTAATTGTTGAAGTCGTACTGCTATTATTGGCAAGCAAGTTAATATTGGCTTGGAAATAAGTATGAATGACACATTTTATTTAATATATTCACAACATTTAGTTCAGAATTAATACATTGTGCTGATATTAAATAATAATTTGCGTCATTCAGACTTATTTCCGAGCCAAACTGAACTGAAGGTCATCGGACATCATCATACATATGTCCGACCCAAACTCAAAGTCATTGGACATTTTGTCAGACGGTCCTGTAAAATATATTTTAAGGCCTGTTTTCAAAGACCTAGTGAAAATATCGCTCACGTGACTTTCAGTATTTATGCTATTTTTTGCTTGGGACTATATAATAAACAGAACATTACACGGTGGCTTGAAGATATGACTTTTATCTTCTCGTGTTAAAAACAATATTTTACTTATTTGCTGCCCTTGTTCGTAAAACATGTTTTCACCACTCGAAGATAAATAGAGATTACTTCATGGTTGATGAGCGCGTACGATTTTTATTCACGAGTGGATTATTACAAGTGAACGAGTGAGCGCAGCGAACGAGTGAACTTGTAATAATTCACGAGTGAATAAAAATCGTATTCGCGAACCAACCATGATGTTATTTGTTTATTATATAAGTACTGAGATTTCATTCACGATGACAAAGTTTTAAATTTTAATGTTATTAATTTCTATGTATTTAAAGATTTCAAAGTTTTTGATGCCTTCTTAAAATGCTAAATCGTTGATAATGCTTGCAGCCGGGCAGTTTTTTCTTAAGATGTCGTTTGACGATTGCTAATAGACTTCGGAGAGAAGATGACTCGTATATTCTTTCCCGTCTTTGGTTATGACCGAATTGATAAACTCAGCCGGACAGTACTCGTTCAGTTCTGCTGTCGGAATATCTTCCATTTTTCTTTCTTCATTCTTTGTTTCCAAAAACAAGTGTAATGCAGTTATCTGTAATAGTTTTACATCTCGTTCGGTTTTTTGTGAGGTACGAGCTTTATTTTCTTGTTCTGAAATAAAATTGTCAACAGAAACGGCGTCCGTAAATCACGCAGCCATTTTGATTTTCAAATTGAAATAGGTTTCGCGCCAAAAAACGTATTTTCCAGTACGATTATTTTTCACTAGTGAAAAAACATCGTTCGTCCAATCAGACGGCGCGAACGATGTTGGTTCACTAGTGAAATTTCATCGTTCGCGTCGCTGATTGGCTGTGGCAAAATCCCGTACGATTATTACGCAATGCCATTTTAATGAATAAATCTCAGTACTTATATAATAAAAGTCATATCTTCGCGCCGCCGTGTAATATCCTCTATCTATATTATTACACTAGTGACACTCAGTAACACTAGTAACTCCAGTAACACTGGTAACATAACTTGATATTTGAATATTGGATGATCTAGTGATAAAATTTAACAAGGCAGTAAGCGACTATTCACACATAACTATATTTTTCCACACAAAGTAAGTACAGTATAAGCACGTGTTCCGAAATCTAAAACTGTTTGTGAGTTATTCATTTACTCAGCTATGGCAAAATGCGTCGGATACACGGCGAATTTGCTACAAAATGTTCTGAACCGCCGGTAAAATTCGCCGTTCGCCAACCTAGTCCTAAATCTGAAACACTGCTAAACACTGCACTATATTGCTAACATTATAGCGTACTGTAAATTTTTCATTTTTTTTCAGGTTTATTAGTTTCGTATCATCAGTCAATTGAACAATCTTTATTTGCGCAACTGAAGAGTCCTAGATTGGCTGTGAGGAAAAGAGCTATCATTGCCTTAGGTAAGAATAACCGGTTAAGTGAGTTAAGTGAGTTTTTCAAAAACTTCGTGAGTTTTTCAAAGACTTCAAATTGCAACTCGTCCTTTGGACTCGTGCAATTTTGATCGACCAAATTGCACTCGAATTTAATTATTATTTCTATTTATTGGAAAATGAGAAAAATGTAGATCATATGAACCAACGAAAAATATCTTTGTATGGTTCAGTTGAAGAACGTTTTATACAATAAATTTATCGACAGTCACCTTTGGTTCATTTTCTTGCATAATACTACTTCTTGCACATGTAGATTGTAATTATTTCTAGTTTTTAGGTTGTCACATTCATTATTTCGCTTTCATTTTCACAGAAAAATTTTCACAGAAAAGGCAAAACATCGAAATCGCTCCTTGTCGCTTTCCATTTTGGGCTTTTGACAACCATCGGAACACGTGGCACCACTGAAAAGTTAGCCTGACCACAGTGGAACCCGCGACGTTTGGCGGTTTGGGATACTAGTCCAGGGTTCGATTCCCACCGTGGTTCAGCCTGCCCGGTGTGGATATACACTCAGAGTAACATCAAAAACATTATATTCACCTGAGTACATAACATCACACAAAAAATATCATGATCATAAGAACACATTGGTATCGAAGGTACTAGACTTAGTTCCGAAATACCACACACTCGAACAGACTTGACCTCGTAGCTCAGTTGGCAGAGCATTGGACTAGTATCCCAAAGGTCGCGGGTTTCCCACCGTGGTCAGGCTAAATTTACAGCCTGCCCGGTGTGGATATACACTCAGAGTAACATCAAAAGCATTATATTCACCTGAGTACATAACATCAAAACACACACACACAAGAAACCAAAAAACTTGACGCCACGTTCGCAAGGCAAATTTCAGTAAGATTGACGCATGCGCAGACGTTTTATCGCGGTGTTCTCTGAGGATGGTTCCGAAACAAGATTCAATAGTAATATTTCGAATTTATTACAAATTCATTAGTGAACAGTTTATAACTGATAGAGAGAGGTATTCAGTGTAATTTATATGTCCTCCTGTGGTAAAATTTGACTGGGGTGGCCCTTAGGGATCGGTCATTATTTATGGGAGGGGGGCAATGAGGAGAAACAATCTCTTGGCCAAATTTTTTAGTGACCCAACCACCCAACCCCAGTTTCTCCACCCAACCCCAGCGCTCATTCAAAAATTTTAGACCCACCCTAACTTAATTTTGTCAATTTACTTATTTAAAAGCTAAATTGACTTATTTGAGTTTTTGAGAGAACAAAAAAGCCAACAAGTATGAACTCTGTCATGTCTTTATCATGACTGTTATGGCAGGTTCAAATGAAATACTTTGCAAATCGATATATAAAGTAAATTATATTTATTCGATCTTGATAAAACAAATAATACAAATATTTTAGTATTTTCTGACTTAATGATTTTTACTTTACCCACCCCTTGGCTTGGTGAATTTTAATTCAACCCACCCATTTCCACCCATAAAATTTTGTTTATCCACCCATTTTCTCTTCAGGGCCCCCCTGGCCATAAATAATGACCGGTCCCTTATTGACCCTCTTCACAATAAAATTTCCATAGAGTTTTGTTCACCCAAGTAACAAATTACTTTATATACTTATTATTATACAGGCTATCTGGTCACGAGTGCTAACAGCAGTCTCTTTATTGAACTTATTGATTCACTGGTTACTGAGCTGACGAAAAACGAATCACATTCTACAACCAGGACATTTATCCAATGTCTGGGCTCTTTATGGTAAGAAAATTGTCAAATATCATAAATCAAGAAATTTTCAGTATACATCGGTTGATAGAAGTCTTTATAGGACTTTGGCCATAAAAAATTAGTTTGTCTCATTCAAAAGAACTCTAATTAAACTCTATTACCGATTTGTCATATATTGCTTAGTTCTCGAAATATTTAGACCGAAATTAATGAGCTGCCCGCCATCTTGGACTAATTTTTGACCTCAATAACTATGGTTTTGATGACGTCAGGAGTTGGGTTAATCATATAAAACTACTCTAAAATGACCGAGTAACAATCCAAAATTGTTTGAAATCATTTCTACATTTCAGACAGCAACCGGAAACGAAGTTTTGAACCCATATTGATCGCTTACTCTCAAGATAAAAATTAGCCTGACCCCTCTCTTGATGTAACATGCATATCCTCAATAATCCAAGATGGCGAACAGCCCGCTTTTTTTAGTCGAAATATTTTGAAAACTAAGCAAGATATAATATGTTATATATGTGTTATTTATTTCCTTGGTGTAAACCTGTATGCCATATATGTTGTAGTCGTCAAGCTGGTCATAGATTTGGAGAACATCTTGAAAGAGTCATTCCACTGATTGTAAAATACGCTAAAATTGATGGAGATGATGAACTCAGAGAATATTGTATTCAGGTGAGTTTTAGTGCACGGTTTGCACTTAAGTCGTTCAGGGACGGATCTAGCCTCATCTGCAAGGAGGGGTGCAGGTTTTTTATGGCGTGGTGCATGCATGAGGGAGCCTTACTGCCCACTCTCTGTAGTTTGCAACGCTACTATCCCAACATTACCATTATTTGAGATGGTCGAATCTGCAAGTTTGTCGTTTTGTTACGTTAAATTTACATTATCTCTTGTTTCTAAAGTTTATTTCGGCTTTTTATCACGTACAGTATGCGTGACTGGACAGTTGCTGTAGCACAGCACAGTATATCAGTTATATAAGTACAGTATATATTTGAAAATATAGCTGTATAACAGCCTCGACATGTTTATATATTTAACCACGATATTTAACTACAGTAAAAAGCATTCTGAGTATTTTCTCGTGAGGTCACAAATCAATTAATCATTTCAAGAAATCGACACGCGCTAACAGTAGAAGTTCCGTTACTCGCTCTTCGAAAAGCAGAAAATGTATGGTCAAGCAGATTTTTTTAGGGTGGTGCTAGACTTCTCTAGGGGAGGGGGTACCAGACACCACTAGGTGGGGTACGCCCTCCCTCTGTACCTCCATGGTAGTTCTATAGGCCATGTTTAAGTTAAAACTTTGTACTATCCTTGGGATCTCTGAGTTTGTTATTATTTTTTGAAACTTTTTGTGTTTTCCTAAAACGTGTACGTAGTTATATACATATTGTTATTTGTTAATCCTTTTTTCACGTACAATTTCTTCAGGCTTTTGAGTCCTTTGTCATTCGATGTCCAAAAGAAGTGACTGCTCATGTTTCCAAGGTAATACTAGAGAGAGAGGAGCTTATAGGTAGAGTGCCTCAAATTTAGGTTTTACAGTGCATTTAATACAATTTCCTACAGTATGTCATTGGTTCACAGTCACTGGTATGCAGTTATTTTCTTTATGTTGATTTCAGGTCACTTTCCAAAGCGCGATTCCCGTTTTGTGAAAATTTCCAATTACGTTTCTAAATTTGGAAGTTTTGGGCGTGGACCTTGCGAAGCCAACTTCACTTACAAATTTTGGGGTTTATGTTCAGTACTTCAGCACTTTAGTTTAAAGCAACTTGCAAAGTTGTCTTTGCAATTTCCACGCCCAATATTCCAAATTTAGAAACGTAATTGGGAATACTCCCAACAAACGTGGGAATCGCGCTTTGAAAAGTGACCTAAAGTCGACAACAGATGTCTGCCAAATTTCTTTCAGAAATGTATCATTTACAGTCTTGACTATCTTTAATGCAGATTACAGAACTGTGTCTGGAGTTCATATGTTTTGATCCAAACTACAACTATGGCAGTGATGAGGAGGATGACGACAGCATGGATACCGATGATCAAGACGACGATGAGGGGTAATGAAGGATACTTAATGAGGGATACATATGTATCCCTGTAGATTGTGCCTGAGAAATATTGTAAGCTGCTTGTATGGAAACTTAAACATTTGGCTAATTTATAGGTCTGACGATGAAGAATACAGCGACGATGATGACATGAGTTGGAAAGTAAGAGTACTATTAACTATAGGAAATCAAACCAACTTGATACTAGATAGCTCTATTAGTTCTAAACTGTTCTCCCTAGAGATCTATAAGGGTCAATTCTTATTGGTCGAGTGTTACTGCAGGAGGAAACCTAAACTGTTTTCTCCAGAGATCTAGTAAAGGTCAATTCTTATTGATCCAGTGTTACTGCAGGAGGAACCTCAACTGTTTTCCCTAGAGATCTAGTAAGAGACATCCCTTACTTAACCAACAGACGAAAACTGGATCTGTTCTGTTAAGCCGAAACAAATTTAACTTTGCCATTTGAAACTTTGCGATTATGTTCCTTTAGGTTCGTCGAGCATCAGCAAAGTGTCTTGGCGCAGTACTGGGATCACGACCTGATCTTCTGACAGAATTTTATAAAACCGTTTCACCCGCTTTGATTGGACGATTTAAAGGTATACGAAGAAACTTAAATTCAACGAACTTCTATTTAAAGAGAAATTTAGCGCAAACGTTGATTTTGTTTATGTTTTGTTCATTTGTTTCATGAATTGTTAATGTAGGGGTGGAAAAAGTATTTACTTCCTGGGCCCGACCACAAGGGAACACTGAAATTTTTTGCAAATAATCAAGTACAGACCTTAATGCATGTTACCTAAATTAGTTTTATGTTATATACCTAAAAGTATTAAGATTCTCAGTGCACTGAAAGAATTTTTTTCTGTTAAAATATAGCACGACGTTCAGTTTCAGAGTTACAGTATCCGACTAAGAGGCACTATCATGAGGATCCATGCTCCCCCAGAAAATTTTGAGAATCAGGTGTCCCAGATTGGCTAAAAATGCATTTGCCATACAACAATTGTCACACCATTTTATAGTCTAATACATTTATACACTATTGCACTATTGTATTAAAATGGGTACACTTACAGTATAGTATTGCATTTTTTAGGTCATACATTTTTTGGATGAATGGTCGTCCAATGGTCGTCCCGTAGTCCAATTAGCCTTAAGAGATCACAGTGCATTCTGCGATCGTTTGGAGGGACAAAATATATGGTGACAAATATGTGAAAGAGTGGAAGTATCTACTATCAAATATCGACTTTTTAGACGACCAAAAGTGAAATATCTCCTTTTTACATTAAATTTTTAATTTAAATGTGTGCTGCCATATTTCTTGTCCCTCCAACATGGGATTTGCGCGACTAGAACCAGGACTTTGGGAAATGGCTAATACGTTTTCCACCTCTGTATTAATGATTCGAGAAATACCAAACTTGTGTTTTCTAACACCCAACATTTCCTTCCTACAGAGAGAGAAGACAGTGTAAAATGTGATATATTCAATGCATACAGAGCGTTATTACGTCAGACCAGACCTATTACTTCGGCATCTTTTGATCCTGACGCAATGGACGAAGAAAACAGGTAAGGGAGTGTTCATTATTTATACTCGGGGTTGGTACCGAAGAGAAACTAATCGAAAAGAGAAAAAAACAACCACCCACCCTTTCGATCAACCATTTTTTCCCCTACCCAACTATTGCATGACTTGGATTTTTATTTTACCCAACCCAATTTCAAAATTATGCAAGTATTTTACATATATATATATATATATATATTATTATACAAGTTAGGCCACTATAGTATAAACAGTACTGTGCATATTTGGTGCACTAACTAAATGTCAAATATAATGATTTGTACCTTCACAAGTTCATATTATGTCCAAGCCTCCACGTTTCTGCAGTCCTACCATATCTCGTTGTTGTAATCAGAG